CCCTCCCCTCCCCCAGCCCGCCCCTCCCCCTCACCGGGGCAGGTGGCCGCTGTCCCCTGGCACTCCCGGGTGTCGTCGCTGTCGCCGGGCCCGCAGGAGCCCCCGCACTGGGGGGAGGGGCTGGAGCAGCTGCGGTGGCGCCGCTGGGAGCCCCCTCCCCCACAGGTGACAGAGCAGGGACCCCAGGGCGACCACGGGCTCCACCCCCCCGCCACTGCCGGGGACGGCCACAGGGACGTGTCACACGGTGTCCCCAAACCCCGCGGTGACACCTCCATGTCCCCAAACCCCCACAGTGTCACCTCATTGTCCCCAAATCCCCCCTTGTCCCCAAATCGCACAGTGTCACCTCATTGTCCCCAAATTCCAGTGTCATCACCGTGTCCCCAAATCGCACAGTGTCATCACCATGTCCCCAAATCCCACAGTGTCACCTCATTGTCCCCAAATTCCAGTGTCATCACCGTGTCCCCAAATCGCACAGTGTCACTTCATTGTCCCCAAATTCCAGTGTCATCACCGTGTCCCCAAATCCCACAGTGTCACCTCATTGTCCCCAAATCCCCCCTTGTCCCCAAATCGCACAGTGTCACCTCATTGTCCCCAAATTCCAGTGTCATCACCGTGTCCCCAAACCCCACAGTGTCACGCCCCTCCATGTCACCACCGTGTCCCCAAATCCCACAGTGTCACGCCCCTCCATGTCACCACCGTGTCCCCAATGCCACAGTGTCACCCCCATGTCCCCAAATCCTGCAGTGTCACCTCATTGTCCCCAAATTCCAGTGTCACCACCGTGTCCCCAAATCCCCCACCTTGTCCCCAAATCCCACAGTGTCACCCACTTCTGTGTCACCACCTTGTCCCCAAATCCCTCTGTGCCACCCCATGTCCCCCACATCCCGCAGTGTCACCCCTGGGGCTTCATTGTCCCCAAATCCCCCCTGTGTGATGTCACCCCCATGTTCCCAAGTCCCCTCCCCTTGTCCCCAAATCCCCCCCGTGTCACCCCCAGGGCTTCTGTGTCCCCTCATCCTCCAGTGTCCCCTCCTTGTGTCCCCAACCTCCCCTGTGTCCCAACGTCCTACTGTCCCCCCCAGCGCTCCCATGTCCCCCACATGTCCCAGTGTCCCCTTCTCGTGTCCCCATGTCCCCCTGTATCCCAATGTCCCATGTCCCCATGTCCCCCATGTGTCTTTCATGTCCCTCCTCTGTCCCTGTGTCCCCTCCGTGTCCCCCCTCTGTCCCCATGCCCCTCATTGTCCCCATTGTCCCCAATGTCCCCACTGTCCCATGTCCCCCCCATTGTCCCCGAGTCCCCAATGTCCCCATTGTCCCCCTGTCACCCCCGCTGTCCCCATTGCCCCATTGTCCCCAGTGTCCCCATTGTCCCCAATGTCCCCCCCATTGTCCCCATTGTCCCCGTGTCCCCAATGTCCCCATTGTCCCCATGTCCCCCCCATGTCCCCGTGTCCCCGTGTCGCACCGGGGCAGCAGCCCATGTCACACGCCCTCAGCTGCCACTCGGTGCTGTTCCCCGCGTGTCCCCCGCCGTGGCCGCGGCTGCGTCCCCTGCGCTGTGTCCCCTCGTCACACGTCACCGAGCAGCTGCTCCAGGGCTCCCAGGGCCCCCAGGCGCCCGCGCTGCCACCGGGACAGGGACAGCGGCGTCACCGGGGACACCCGGGGACACCCGGGGACAACCGGGGTCATCTGGGGTCACCAGTGTCACCCGGGGCCACCTGGGGTCACCTGGGATCAGCTGGGGTCAGCTGGGGTCACCCGGGACCACTCAGGGTCACCTGGGGTCACCCAGGGCACTCAGTGTCACCCGGGGCCACTCAGGGTCACCTGGGGTCACCTGGGATCAGCTGGGGTCACCCAGGGCACTCAGGGTCATCTGGGGTCACCCAGGGTCACTCAGTGTCACCCAGCGTCACCCAGGGTCACTCAGGGTCACCTGGGGCCACTCAGTGTCACCCAGGGTCACCCAGGGTCACTCAGGGTCACCTGGGATCAGCTGGGGTCACCTGGGGTCACCAGTGTCACCTGGGGCTACCTGGGGTCGCCTGGGGTCACCTGGGATCAGCTGGGGTCACCCAGGGTCACCTGGGGTCACCCAGGGCCACTCAGTGTCACCCAGGGTCTCTCAGGGTCACCTGGGGTCACCTGGGGTCACCCAGGGCATTCAGTATCACCTGGAGTCCCTCAGTGTCACCCGGGGCCACCCAGGATCACTGGGGTCACTCGGGGTCACCTGGGGTCACCTGGGGTCACTCGGTGTCACTTGGGGTTTCCAGGGTCACTCGGTGTCACCCGGGGTCACCTGATGTCACTCGGTGTCACCTGGTGTCCCTCAGTGTCCCCCAGCAGCCCCCAGTGTCCCCCAGTCCCTCCCAGTGTCCCCAGGTGTGGGTGGGGCTAAAGAGGGGTGGGACTGGAGTGGGAGGGGCTTGATGGTGTGGGCGTGGCTTGCAGTGGGTGTGGTATTTATGGGCGGGGTTCAGTAATTGGGATGGAAATTTGGGGCGTGGTCACAGGACGGGTGGGCGTGGCTGACAGTGGGTGTGGCCAGGGATGGGCGTGGCCAGGGATGGGCGTGGCCAGGGGCGTGTCTGACCGGCAGCTGCGGCAGTGGCCGTGTGGGCGGAGCCTGTAGCCATAGGCGGGGTTCAGGCAGCAATCGGCCAATGGGAGAGGCTCCTCCCCCAGTGGCTCTGCGCAGGCCCCGCCCTCTCCATCCTCCTCCAATCGGCTGAAGCACCAGACGGGCAGGGCCGCTGGGGGCGGGGCCAGGGGTCACCGCCAGGTCACCAGTGCTCCCAGTGTCCCCCAGTATGGCCCAATCCTCCAGCCCCTCCCAGTTCCTCCCAGTTCCCCCAGTACGCCCAGCTCCACCCTCCCAGTGCCCCCAGTTCCTCCTGGCACCCTCCCAGTTAACCCATTCCCCCAGTTCTGCCCTCCCAGTTCCCCCCTCCCAGTGCCCCCAGTCCCCTCCCAGTGTCCCCAGTTTCCCCCAGTTCCCCCCCCA